CTCTCTCTCTCTCTCTCTCTCTCTCTCTCTCTCTCTCTCTCTCTCTCTCTCAGTCTGTTTCCCTATGCCTGTCTTTCCATGCCTACGGTTCCTTTATTTGTGGACGTATGTTTGTTTCATCCGGCAAACGAACTGCTAACTATTCGCCTCACCCCTACCCCTTTTTTGCACAAAGTCATCTTCATCATCATCTTCATTATCATCATCATCATCATCATCATCATCATCATCATCTTCATTGTTGTTGAGCAGCAGAAAGATACAATGGTGGCTGGAATATATCATTTTTAGCATGTTAAGTGTGTTTAAGTCATCGCCATCCGCATCATCCGCGGCACCATCATCATCATCATCATGATCATCATCATCATCATGATCATCATCATCGTCATCATCATCATCATCATCATCATCATCATCATCATCATCATCATCATCATCATCATCATCATCATCAATAATTTTTGCCTCACATTCAAGCATACAAACCCCAAAGACTAGGATATAATCTATTCAAAGCCGACTTGATAAAAACACACTTTGAGCCCAAACTATAATATTTATGAAAACGATAAGAACGGTTTAATTTTGTTTACAGATGAATAAAAAGATCAATGTCAGTGCAGGCAAAAATCGTGATGTTCCACAATAGTATAGAGCGCGCAGCGACTCTTGCTACGTGGCCTTGTATTATTCTTGCTTGCATTTAGTACAGTTTCGATGGCGTGCAAGAGTGGACTGAGATCTGGAAAGAGAAAATAAAGGTTTGAGATGACAACAACCAGGACCCCCCCCTCTTCCGAAAACAAACATTCACCTCTTGTGATTTATGGTAAGAGATTGAACATTCCATACAACAACCCCCTCCTCCCCCCAAAAACAACAACAACAACAACAACAACAACAACCAACAACAACAAACAAACAAACGAACAAACAAACAAACCCACACAATTACCTATCTGTGATTTCGTGACCTCAGGATTACAAAGTTCTGTCTGTCAAGACATTGTTTTGAGAAATTTGACGTCAAAATGTTATAGTTTCACAACATGTCAAGCTTTTTCAAATGCAATTCTTTAAACGTCTTGGTGATGACTCGGAATACTCTTACGAGTGGATAGAGATTTTAGCTTTCTAGCCTCAAGGTCTTAGTAACTCAACTGTCAAAAATGTCAGATAAAACTTTGTAATTCTGAGGTAGCGATTGTGGTAAGAGATGGCATATTTCCGTTACATTTCTACAACCACAGATAGCCATTCACACTCCTATATTAAACCGACTTAATTACTGACAAGAAATAACGTTTCTGTTATTATTATATAATAGTGCTATGGTAACGCATATTTTTGGCTTAACTCATTAGAGACGCGCATTCTAGTCATTCGACAACGCTTATAGACACGCTGTTTTGGGACACTGTAAAAGAAGCAGAAACTTGGTGGTCCATAAAATTTGTACATGAATAAATGAATTAAAATTTCTGCATCTGAATCATTTAAATAAAGTGAGTCACACCATGCATACTACGAAAGATTATGTAAATTGGTGTTTCTGATTTATGAATGATGGTTCGAAAGGTGTCATAACATTGCGTTTGGTCGTCTGCTGATCGAAAATATGTCTGGCATGGTCTGAAAGAGTTAAAAAGTTCCTTGCAAGTTCTGACTAACTCGACACATTATAATGACTTATAAACATCTAAGAATCCGGCAGGTCATCCGTACTGGATTTACCGTTAGAAAGACACGAGTCAGATAAATAATTGATTAGCGTAGCCTATCGATATTTGTAGGGATACAACAGATTGAAGGACAGGTTGACAGATGCCGTCTTCTAATAGAGAAAATAAATGAGAACAGTCTGAGTTACTGATATTAGGAATGGAGAAATGAAAAAGGATAAATAATGGCATTAATGGAGAGAGAGAGAGAGAGAGAGAGAGAGAGAGAGAGAGAGAGAGAGAGGGGGGGGAGAGGGAGAGAGAGAGAGAGAGAGAGAGAGAGAAAGAGAGAAAGAGAGGGAGACAGACAGACGGACAGACAGACAGACAAACAGACAGACAAACAGACAGACAAAAAGACAGACAGACAGACAAAAAGACAGACAGACAGATAGACAGACAGACAGACGGGGGAGAGATGGAAGGGAGACAGACAGACAGACCGATACACAGACAGACAGGCAGACAGGCAGGTAGGTAAATAAGATAGGGAGAAAGAAAGATAGTTTGAGGAACGGACAACGGGGGATTGTGAGGCGCACTGTTCAGCAATCTGTACAATGTAAGGCCATACAGATGAACCATCAGCATTCTGACACTTACCTTTTCCACGACTCCCTGGAAGCCTACGCTGTTGATGGCAGAACCCACGTTGAGGCCACAGCGGAAGCAGATATGAGATGGGGCTGTGGATGGAGATGATGATGCTGCTGTTGATGATGATGATAATAATAATGATGATGATAAAGAGGAGGAGGAAGATGAAGAAGGAGGGGGGAGGGAGAAAATAAAGAAGGTGGTGGCAGTGGGAATGACGGTGATGATGATGATGATGATGATGATGATTAGGATGATGAGGATGATGATGATAATAATGATGATGATGATGATGATGATGATGATGATGATGATGATGATGATGATGATGATGATGATGATGAGAAGTAAACCACCCCCCCTCCTGTTTCTGGTATTCATTTTTTTAAAATTTGCCCACTCTTAAAGTTGTTACATTTTACAACAATTGAGCTTACCCACCTACCCACCCTCTCCCAACCATTTCTTTCGCGCCCCACTTTTCCTGTCCAAGTTGGATTGGCGTGTATATATAACTAAGAACCTTTAAAAAATTTCAATTTGCTTTCTCTTCCTTCTTGTTTTTATTTTTGTCAACTCAGAAAGAGCAATGATTTGATGTGGGTCAATGGTCTTAATTAAACATTGAATAAACTTACAAACTTACAGTCAGAAAGATCGATAGTATAGATTGTAAAGCGCACATAGCTTGTAGTTGGGCGGGAATTACGCTATATAAATGCTATTTATTATCA